TGCCGATTGGAAGGTCGGCAGTTTGAATCCACACAACAGGGTGAGCTCCCGCTCTGTCCCAGCTCGTGCCAACCAAGCAGTTCAAAAGCATACCAGTGTGAGTAGATAAATAGGTACCACTGTGGCAGGAAGGTAAACAGCTTCTCTATGTGCTCTGGTTTCCATCACAGTGTTCCACTGCACCAGAAGCAGTTTAGTCATGCTGGCCACATGACCCGGAAAGCTGTCTGTGGACAAACGCTGGCTCCCTCAGCCTGAAGCGAGATGAGTGCCACAACCACATAGTCACCTTTGACTGGACTTAACCATCCAGGGGTCCTTTACCTATACCTATTACCTATAAACTGATGAGAGCATCAAGCACCATTTCTTCCTGGTGACCACTGCATCACCTGACCTGCTCATCCTGTTTCTCACTTCCCAGCCACTTGGCTCCTTCCTGGATCCTACTGCTCATCATTCAGCCACGGCAGCTTGGAAATGCAGCCTGCCCTGGCTCCAGAACTCTTGGCCTTCATTGTGGCAGGGTACATTCTTTCCCTGCATTATACACATGCCCCTGAACGATGCAGAATGGATGCTCAAGTCAAAGGTTTATGAAAGGTTTGTAAGAGTTTAGAGCCAGCCTTTTTCTTTTCTTTTTTCTTTTTACATCCCACATCACGATATAATTTTGGCAAAAAGAAAGATTGGCTTGGGAAATGTGGTCATGGATATGGGCCCTGGCTTGTTGCTATAGCTCGTATTTCACCTCCTTGAAAACGTGTTTGGCTTGGTAGAGAAGATTGAAAAACACTGTCCTTTAGTATAGATGCTTCATTACACACTAGACGACCAGTTACAAAATAAAATAAAACAAAACACATGCTACTCAGAGATGATTTCCTCACCTGCAGACCAGTATTTTATTGATGCAACGAGAATTCAAAATTGCACCAGTCTAAAGGACACTGGATTATTGTATTCCTCTTGGTTTCCTGACTGCTATTAAATCAATGTAGGCAATAAAATAAGAACCTCGCCTGTAAATTCTTTTCTCTGACAGTTCTGGGACTGATTAAATATTTGCATGGTTCAATTGCAGCCATGTACGATCAGATTCAAGGTCCAGGAATGCACTGAAATGCAACTCAACACTCTCGGATGCTGAATTTTCTTTATTCATTTGCATGTAAAAAAGAGAAGGAACATTAAATAAACACCTCGGAGATACCTGAGCAGATACACAATCAGCCCTGTATGATCAGATTCAAGCATAATTCTTTTCCTTTTCTTTTAAAAAGCCAAATGCATTCCAACAGAATCTTTCTCCATATCACCATACACATTATTTATACTAATTAAAACATTAAAATGAAAAGCATTTGTTGTTTGCGCAAGGGGGGTCATGTTAATTCATGCTGTAACATGCATGAATTATCGTTCTTTTTCGAATAAAACAGGGTCTTCAATGACAATAGCAGATATAGGTTAGCAGAATTATTAGGTAAAGGGTTCATTATTCAATCATACATGAAGCTGAGCCCTGGCACTGTGACTGAGCCCTTGTGAACCCCTCTTATAATAAACCTTGCATAAATTTGTTTAGAGTTTAAAGGCAGAACTTTGCGGCCATATTCATTGAGGAAAAATAGAATAATTCTTACTGAGCTAAACTGAGGGTTGATACAACCCTCTGTCCTGACAGGTATCTCTACATTTGTGGTCCATCTGCACTATACATTTAATGCAGTATCATACCACTTCAAACACCCACGGCTTCCCTCAAAGAATCCTGGCAACTGCAGTTTGTGCTGAGAGTTGTTTGGAGGCCTCATTCCCTTCACAAAATGACAATTCCCATAATTCTCTGGTAAGAGGAATTTTCTCTGTGAGGGGAATAGGCGGTCTCCTAACAACCCTCAGCACACGTAACAGACTGCAGTTACCAGGATACTTTGAGGGAAGCCAAGGCTGTTTGAAGTGCTTCAAATACTGCTTCAAATGTACAGTGCTGAATGGGCATTGTTTATGTGAAGATTGTATCAACACAAAACTTTAGACAATTTCCAGTCACCCATTCTCAGCCTCTAGTTTTAAGTTTTCCAGTGCAGTTCTATACATATTTACTCAGTGACAAGTTCCACTGGGGGAAATCTGATGATATCAGTCTACTAGCAGAACAAACGTAATTGGTGAAATGGATTTCCCCGTTCTGCTTGCAGCTATTATGTGTACCCCAGGTATGCCCCAGAGGGTTAGGGCATACAACCAAAACACATTTTGGGGGAGATTGCAAGGGGGAGGAGATAATGGGTAAGTTCCTTTGGGACTTGCTTCCTAGTAAGCATGTTTAGGATTTCAGTCATAGAGACACTCATAGGCATGAGTATCTTTTATAAACTTTGTCATAACAGTAACAACTACCTTTTTCCTGTGAATGATTTTATACTTCCTTTCAAAGGGCTACCCTTCAGTTCAGGACAAAAATCTGATGACAAAACAAAAGTTTGGTTGCATTGATGCATTAAGTTTCAGAAAATGTACACACCACAACGAAAGTCACAAAATTTGTTTGCATCCTGTCTATGATAGATTTGAGGGAGAAGCAAGTGAATCTTCGAGTCAGATCAGTACCAGAGGTGGAAAAGGACAATTTAGCTGAATTTCTCACGCAGGAATTTTTGGACTTTTGGGATCCAGAACTGGCAAAAGACAGTTTCACAATAGTAAATGCATTTAGACTTGGGAGAAGAGGAGAAAAGAAGGTGAGAGACTGTCTGATTACTTTTAGAACAAAAGAAGAGAGGGACAAGATTTTGGGTTTACACTTCAGGAAAACATTGGAAATCCATCAGAAAAGGGTGGAAATATTCAAAGACATTCCGAAATATATTCTGGATCTCAGATCAAAATACAAAGACTTGGTTATCCTGCTGAGAAGGAACAACATCAATTTCAGGTGGGAACTCCCTCAAGGCCTGTCTTTTAGCTACAAGGGAAAGAAGAGGAAAATAAGATCGGAAGACGACAAAGATAAATTTTACAGAGACCACGGAGAAGACTTACAAAAAGAACTATTTCCGGAACCAAAAGACCGCTCGAAAGAAGGGATACCACCGACGGACGAGGAACAGGCACTAGGTGCAGTAGGAGGAGCATCAAAACAATAACATCATGGCCCTGCAACTTTTAACATGGAACTGTCGGGGTTTGAATTCCCCTCAGAAGAGGAAGTCAGTATTTCATATATTAAAAAAGGAACAATTAGATTTAATTTGTTTACAAGAAACACATATAACGAGATTACACAGGAAATTGTTAACAAACAAAAGACTTGGTCAGGAATTTATTTCGTCGGATAAAGTTAAAAAAGAGAGGGGTCGTGATCTACGCAAAAGACAATTTATCACCAAAATTTGTTTTCAAGGATGACCAAGGAAGATTTGTGGCAATTGAAATTCAAACACAAGGAGAAAAATTTTTGATCGTAGGAGTTTATGCACCAAATGATGGGAAATCCGATTTTTTTAAGAAGTTGCATGAGACCTTGATGGACCATATGGATTACAACATAATTTTGATGGGAGATATGAATGGAGTGGTATCTACTTACATGGACAAGGCACAAAAACAGGTAGTCACCAAAGATGGTAGACTACCGAGAACCTTTTTTGATATGACAGACAACTTGGATTTAGTGGATATTTGGAGAATTAGAAACCCCTTGGCAAAAGAAGGAACTTTCTTTTCTGAAGCCAAAATGACTTGGACAAGAATTGACCAAATCTGGATAACTAGAGGAATGGCACCAAAAACAAAAAAGGTGGAAATCTGCCCGAAAATTTGCTCCGACCATAATGCTGTTAAGATGGAAATGAGACTAATGCCAACTGGCTCCTTCAGATGGAAGATGAATGACACCTTATTTAGAGATGAAGAATTTCTTAAGAAGGCCCAAAAAACTTTAAAAGACTACTTTGAGATAAATCTTAGTTCCAACGTGGAGAAAAGAGTAATCTGGGATGCAAGTAAAGTTGTGATGAGAGGGTTCTTAATACAACAGAATGCGATAAAGAAAAGAACTCAAAATGAGAAGAAGGATAAAATTATGAACAAAATGAATGAATGCGAAAAAAGATTGCGAGTAAATCCCAAATCTCAAGAGACTCTGAGAGAGTTAAAGTTATATCAAGTACAATATATGAAAATAATGAATCAGGAAATAGAATGGAAAATTAAACAAATGAGACAAAAGACTTTTGAATCGGCTAATAAATGTGGTAAACTGTTGGCATGGCAAATGAAAAAGAGACAAAAATTAAATACGATTACGAATTTAGAAGTGGATGGAAGGAATATACAGAACCCTGCAGAGATTAGAAGTTGTTTCCAGAAGTATTTTAAAAGACTATACACTCAAGGGCCCGTGAAAGAAACAGACTTAGATCAATTTTTGAAAACAAATGGATTACAAAAAAATATCTCAAGAAAATAGACTAATTTTGAATGACAGAATAACGGAACAGGAAATAGAAGGTGCCATTCAAAATATGCAACTGGGTAAATCTCCAGGCCCAGACGGCTTGACCTCTAGATACTACAGATCCTTAAAAGATTGGTTAATTCAACCATTGAAAGAGGTCTGCAACGAAATAATGGAGGGAGGAGGGCACCAGAGTCGTGGAAAGAAGCATATATTACACTTGTACCAAAAACAGAGGCTGAAAAGACACAACTAAAGAACTACCGCCCAATATCATTACTTAATGTGGATTACAAAATTTTTGCAGATATTTTGGCGAAGAGATTTAAAAAGTGCTGTTGGAAGAGATTCATAAAGACCAAGCGGGCTTTCTCCCAAGAAGACACTTGTCTGATAATCTGAGGAATATAATTGATATTTTGGAAAAATTAGAAGTGAATATAAACACTAAAGCAGTGTTGATATTTGTAGATGCGGAGAAAGCCTTTGACAATATTTCTTGGAATTTTATGAAGAAGAATCTTCAGGGTATGGGGGTAGGCCAAGGTTTTGAGAATGGTATAAGTGCAATTTATTCAGAACAAAAGGCTAAATTAATTGTAAATAACGTTGTGACGGAAGAACTTAAAATTGAAAAAGGGACACGACAAGGTTGCCCAATTTCCCCTCTTCTCTTTATTTCGGTCCTGGAGGTGTTGCTGAACATGATTAGAAGGGACCAGTTGGTTAAAGGTATACAGGTCGGAACTAAACACTATAAATTGAGAGCATTTGCAGATGACTTAGTACTGACGTTACAGGAGCCAGAATCTAGTACAAAAAGGGTTTTAGAACTGATTCAAGAATTTGGTCAAGTGGCAGGATTTAAATTGAACAAATCAAAAACCAAGGTTTTAGAGAAAAATTTAACACCGTTTGAAAGAGAGAGGTTTCAGAATGAGACAGGGTTAACAGTGGTTAAGAAAGTTAAATACTTGGGGATTAACATGACAGCAAAAAATGGGAATTTATTTAAAGATAACTATGAAAAATGTTGGTCAGAAGTGAAAAAGATTTAGAAATTTGGTCAAACTTGAAGCTTTCACTGCTAGGCCGTATTGCTGCGATAAAAATGAATGTATTGCCTAGAATGTTGTTTTTGTTTCAAACTTTGCAGATTGTGGACAAAATGGACTGTTTCAAGAGGTGGCAGAAAGATATTTCTAAATTTGTCTGGCAGGGCAAGAAACCTAGAATAAAATTTAAAATTCTAACAGATGCAAAGGAAAGAGGTGGATTTGCCCTGCCAGACCTCAAACTTTATTATGAATCAGCAGCTTTTTGCTGGTTGAAAGAATGGCTACTTCTTGAAAACACTGACATTTTGGATTTGGAAGGTTTTAATAATGTATTTGGATGGCATGCATATTTATGGTATGATAAGGTCAAAGCACACAAAGCATTTAAAAACCACATTGTCAGGAAAGCGCTATTTAATGTTTGGATAAGATATAAGGATTTGCTAGAAAATAAAACCCCAAGGTGGCTGTCACCAATGGAAGCGAAAGCCTTGAAAAGGGTCAATATGGAGGTCAAATGGCCGAAATATTGGGAAATTTTGGAACAAGACGGAGATAGACTGAAATTGCAGAGTTTTGAAAAACTAAAAACAAAGTGCGAGACTGGCTTCATTATTATCAAATAATGGAGGCATTTAAATTAGACAGGAAAATTGGCTTCCAGGTGGAAAAATCAAAATTAGAAACAGAATTGTTAGAACCCAATACTAAGAATCTGTCAAGAATGTATAACTTGCTGCTGAAATGGAATACTCAAGATGAAACGGTAAAATCGGCTATGATTAAATGGGCACAGGACGTAGGACATAACATTATGTTTGCTGACTGGGAACAGTTATGGACCACTGGTATGAAATTTACGGCATGTAATGCCTTAAGAGAGAATATTATGAAAATGATATACAGGTGGTACATAACCCCAGTCAAGCTTGCGAAAATCTATCACTTGCCCGATAACAAATGTTGGAAATGTAAAGAAACTGAAGGTACATTTTTTCACCTTTGGTGGACGTGCCCAAAGATTAAGGCTTTCTGGGAAATGATATATAATGAATTAAAAAGCTATTTAAGTATACCTTCCCCAAGAAACCAGAGGCCTTTCTCCTGGGCATAGTGGGCCAAATGGTGTTAAAAAGGGATAGAACTTTCTTTATGTATGCAACAACAGCAGCAAGAATACTCATCGCAAAGTATTGGAAGACACAAGAACTTCCCACGCTGGAGGAATGGCAGATGAAACTTATGGACTATATGGAATTGGCGGAAATGACTGGCAGAATCCGTGACCAGGGAGAAGAGTCGATGGAGGAAGATTGGAAGAAATTCAAAGACTATCTTCAGAAACATTGCAAAATTAAGGAATGTTAGAGTGATGTTGGATTGAAAATAAATGGTTTCCAGCTATACAGGTTAAAGTTAAGGATAGATTAGATTAAGATCAAGATTAAGGATGATTAAAGACATGGAAATTTGATAATAAAAGGGAAAAATTTAAAGGTATATGACATTAAGAATAAGGATTATGTTTAAAAAAGTTGAAGTTATATATTTTAATATTTTATTAAATTAAAGATTGGGTTTAAAAAAGTGGAAAAGAAACTGCTGGACAAATAATGTAGATTGGAATACAAAAGAGGGAGGTATGAGGAAGTCTAGAAAATAAGTAATATAAAATTGGGAACGGAAAAGAGAGTTTGTTTTTAATTGTTTCGTCTTTTTATTGTTAAATTTTGTATTGTTTCTTTGTGTGTGTTGTTTTTCTTTTTTCTTTGTTTAAAATCTTAATAAAAAATTATTTAAAAAAAAAAAATTTGTTTGCATCCTGCCCTCAGTAACCAAGCAGGGTACCTTGAATGGTATCATAGCTAGCCTCATACAGATAAATACACAGGTGTTCTTTCTTTCTTTCTTTCTTTCTTTCTTTCTTTATTTATTTCTTTTGCTAAACTGCCCTGGAAAATCTGCTGAAGGGCAGCATAGAAATAAATCAATAAATAAGTGAACAAATTTTGCGAAAGATCAGGTGCTGAAAACCCCACCAAGTAAGAAAGCTTCATAATCAAGCTTTGCCTTTTAGTGTATGTATGTAGGATAAGACACCCCATTTCCCTCAGTTACAAAGCGCACACACAAGATGAAAGGGAAGACAAGACGGGCATAAAAGAACTAATGAATTGTTTTATACCTTCCACTACATTGTTACAGACTTTTATTTCCCTTCAGCTTTAGCCATGCCTATGTTTTGCCGACACTGGTCAGATGATAAGGATTAATTTGCTGTGACCTATTTGTTTTTAACCTTCATCTGACCTCTATGCTTTTCCATCCCCTTCTCTTACACTCTTGGTCATCCATGCAGTGAGGCCAAGAATAATTTCAAAGCAAAGCTCTCCCTTATACTTAATTTTATGACACAAGCCTTTAGTTCCTATGAAACTTTGCCCCTCAAAAGAGAGCCAATATTATGCTTCAAAGGATGTGCAAAACATATTGCATAAGGTATGTGCAATACATTTGGCTATTCTGGCCAGGATCCTAGGATTCTCCAGGGCTCATGCTGTTATTACGTATACAGCATATCAATAATAATAAAACCAGAGGTCCCTGCACAATGCTGCTCCTTTGAAGCAAAGGAGCAGCAACTCTCACACACAGGATCTGAGCCTGTGAGAAACAAATTCAGGGGGTAGGACAAGGAAGGAGGAGAGGCCTGGCACTGGTGGGAAGAAAGAGACTTGGCAAGAAAGGTGTCCCCTACCTTCTCATGCAAAGATGCTGCTGCCTGCCAGGTGTCTCATTTTCACAGTTATTCAGCCTTCTTGCCTCTCCTACCTGCCTGATGCTTCACCTTCTGACAGCCCAGGATGGCTCTGGGCTGTTCAACCTGACCTGTAGTAATCTGAGGCTGTCTCCACCGGACGAAAAAACCCAGATCCCTCCTAATAGGCTCATGTTGGCCTAGGATCTGGGCTTTGACCGATTCTGCGACACAACCCTAGTCTCCAGTTCACAAAACCCAAGAAGGTAAGTCTGGATGTAAGGTATGTTAAGTTTTGCTTTCGGTTTATCAAGTCTTTGATATGTTCACATGTACATATACATAGATCTCTCTCATTCTCACAGTACCTACTTTTCATGAGGGGAAATGTATTTTCCATGTTCCTTTGGCCACCTCACCTGCCCCATGTTCATTATTCCATCTTATCTAAACAAACAGATGCAGCAGTGCCCAAACAGCAGAGCACCTGATAAGAATTTGTTACACACTGTAAAACTTCTCTATGAAAGAACAGAACTTTTCTATTAACACATCTTTGCTTAAAAGGATATTCTGTCTGCAAAAGAGAGCCCTGTTTTGATTCCCTTTTGACCCCTGTTAAAATGGGTCTGTCTTATTAGTTTGGCATCACCTTATTCACACCCACTTAGTCACCCTTCATTCCTTTCTATTCCCACCAAAATTGACTTCCTTCTTCAATGCCACTCCTCAAGGAGCCCAACTATGGGGCAGGAAAGTAACGAACATAGAGAGATGTGTACAGTAATAATGCATTCTGGCAGTAGGACAGTAGACTCAGCAACTTGCTTACAAGAGGCTAATGAACGTATGAAAACCCTAAACCCAGTTTATCAATGGTAAAAGGTAAAGGGACCCCTGACCGTTAGGTCCAGTCGCGGACGACTCTGGGGTTGCGGCGCTCATCTCACTTTACTGGCCAAGGGAGCCGGCATACAGCTTCTGGGTCATGTGGCCAGCATGACTAAGCCACTTCTAGCAAACCAGAGCAGTGCACGGAAACGCTGTTTACCTTCCCGCCGGAGCGGTACCTATTTATCTACTTGCACTTTGATGTGCTTTCATAATAAATAGATAAATAAATAATTTGTATCCAACACTTCTCTTTCGCTCATGCAACAGATGTCTGCCCATGCAATGAAAATTCTCCCTCGTCTTCTCTCTGCTACAGTCTCCTGTGTACCCACAAAATCTGCTCCAGAGGATTAGAGGACCCTCTGGAGTAGATTTGAGGGGTGCATGAGGAGAAGAGCGGAGAGGGAGGTTAGATTGTGCAAGCAGAACACTGCTCATGCAGCATTAGATACAATTTCTTCTCGTTGTTTCATATACTTATCTACTGCTTAAAACTAAAGCAGTACAGTATCTAACATGCAGTCCTGAGCAGGAAAGGCTAAAAGCTTCACCTTCTTCCACTGCTAGGGACAAGGCTTTGCTTTTAAATAAGGTCTGAGAAAGTGATCTGAGGCCCACCTCAGGCTTGCATTCTTTAAAGCTCAAGTAATTAATCTGGGATGATTCTCCCTGAGGTAACAAATTAGCACTTCTGGTTACACTCTAGTGCCATTTAGAATCAAACTTCACCCTCAGGCTTGGGGTGTGGATGTCTGTAATCTACTTGTGACATTGTTTAATCACCCCAATTAGAAGTTCAAAAGAGCGGCTAAAGGAATTGCCTTACCCTAAACAGTTTACTTAGAAGATCCAGTTCACTGTGCTCAACTGGATCTCTTCACGGGTCGGTTTTGATTGCAGCCGCTGCATGTCAATAGTTTAATTACCAAGTGCTAATGAATGCTCGTTTGTCTCTTTTTAATAAAGAAAACTCCAAACTGCCCTGCCAAGGCACTGAACAATATTACAAATGAGCCGGAAAAATAGGCACGGGTTTAAAAATAATTATATAAATCACAGTAAGAATGATATAATAAAGCACTAGCCAAGGAGGTATCACCTGATATTTGCAAGCTAAAAGTCGTAAAATATTAAAAATTACACAGATAGATAGATTGTCTTAGTGCTACAGGGTAGATGTGCTGGAGAGGCTATCCAAGGAGAATGTGCCTTAATTGCAGTGCTAACCCCGAAAAGTCAGATTATTTCTTCTTGAAGGTGCAGATTATTTCTTCTTGAAGGTGACTCCCTCCTGCAGACCTTAGGTACTGGACAGCTTTGCATGGGAGAAAAGAGGCTCATCCACATCAAGCCCAAGCATCTAAAAGCTTGAAAAGTAACAATTACCAACTTGTACTGAACCAAAAGCAAACTGCAAAATCGTGCAGGTAAGCAAGAGTTGGCTCAATATTCTGTTTGTGTCAGACTCCCATCAAAAGCTAGCTGAAGCTTCCTGTTTTCAAGGGCAGTCTTGCATTGCCTATATTACACTGGTCTATGCAAGGGGTTACATGAATAACTATGACCAGATCCCTCTTAGAGACAGAAGAGTGTATTCAGCTTCTCAGGTGTGACTGATTAAAAGCATTGAAAGCATTCCTGGGCAGAGCTGCAACTGGGCATCTGGGAAGAAAGCCAGAAGGCCATGAAGCCCTATGAAGAAGTTTTATTTTTTAAAAAATAATAACTTTCTTTTTTGTTGGGCAAGAGAGATGCCAGAAGTGCTAGCATGTTTTTAGATGCTCTTTTATAAAACAAATGACTGCATGTTGTTAAAATTAAGTGGGCTTTAATTATAATTATAACATCCTACTCATACTTTCAGACCAAAGATACCCTATGGGTGAAGATGTGTGGTTGTTTCACCCACTGTTGGGTTTTTTTTTTTAAATGCAAAGCAGCCATAGGTGGCTTAATGTTGAACAAAAAGCTGGTGAGAGAGAACAAATGTTTTACCTGGGCAGTCCAGAGGATGGCAAAACGAGAACAGTCCTTTTCACTTGTGGCTTCCCTACTTGGGGAATGTTCTCCCCAGGGAGGCTTGCCTGGCCTCCTCTTTAAGCACCAGGAAAAAAACATTCTTTTTTAATCCGGCCTTTGGCTTTTCATTGTCTACCCTTTTTGCATAGGTGGGATGTTTTGATCTAGTTTTTTTGTCTTTTAGATTGTTTTTTAATGCTGGTTTTAATATATGTATGCATTTGTTTGCTTGCTTTAAATATTGTAAGTCACTCTGAGCTGTCATGGCAAAAAAATTGACTGATATATTTAATAAATAATAATAATAATAATAACAACAAGAACAACAATAGTAACCACAGTCCTTTCTTTGGTGCTATTTGTTCATTCAAAATTACCTGAAGCTGCTTTTCTCTTTGAGAGAGTAAAGAGTGTAGGGATCCTTTGCCTTTTCTGCGAGAGGTGGAAACACAGCTGGGGGCGGGGGCGAGTGTACACATGGGTGGCAAGGGAAAAACCCCATCCCTTTCCTCCTGCTGATCCTCAGTTCAACCTGAAGTCATGTGTCATGAGTAGTTTTTTTAAAAAGCAACAACCATGAAAGCAACAACATAATATTGCGTAATACAGTCGTACCTTGGAAGTCAAATGGAATCAGTTTCGGATGTCTGTTCAACTTCCAAAATGTTCAGAAACAAATCGCAGCTTCTGATTGGCTGCAGGAAGCTCCTGCAGCCAATTGGAAGCTGCGGAAGCCCCATTGGACGGGCAACTTCCAAAAATAGTTCGCAAACTGGAACAGTCACTTCTGAGTTTGCTGCGTTCGAGAGCCAAAACTTTCGAGAACTAAACTGTTCGAAAAAAGGTACGACTATACTGAATTTGGTCTATAGGTAGTCATTTGGGACCACTTTTTTTTTACTACAAACTTTTTTTTTATTACAAACAAATGCAGTTGTATATGTTCTGAATTTTAGAGTTCATTGTGATTTTAAAAAGTGTCATCTGCAGTAATAATCTGTATAGATTAAGACCACACTATTTGCTTATGCAAACCATCTTTTTGTGTCTCTTGGGAGGTGTGTTAGGGAAGAAATGAAGGAGCAACCCCTTGCTCTCAAAAACCGCATGCTCTCGGCAC